AGTGAAATTAGATTTGTATTATTTTGCTGTATATGTATAATTTTCTTTAAACTCCTCATTTGGGTGAAGCACGTGTTATCTTCGCCTTGAAATGAAACTTCCTCAACCCCAGTAAAACCAATGTAGTGTATTTTTGTGCAATAATATTTTTTCTTTTGTAATTTGAGAGGATTAATATGTATGCAATATTTATGGTTAATTTTTCCCTTGAAAATAAATTTTTTTTTTCTGATTTTTTACAATATTTTTTAGAATCAATGCAGTTATTAATTTAGTAATTAATTTATTCAATTGTATTTCATTCAATTCAAGTCAGATCAGCGCCATGTGTTGAGAGAAAATTAAATAAAACATGTAATTTCATAGTGTTACTGTATAGCTCTCTATGGAGAGGCTTGTGAATTCTCTAGTAGTTTTTGGACAAAATTACTTACTTTTAAGATGTGGATTTGAATGTATTTTTCTAGAAATTGTGAAATAATACTTTTTGTCAAGGCTTATAAAAAATAGAAATTTGATGTGAAGTAGCCTATACTACAGTCAAACCTGAATACAGAGAAAGCATTTTATTACATGTAACATTGTAACACAATTACAAAAATAAACAGGAATGCTTTATCACAGCTTAATCCATCTGGATCTGATCTCATTTCAACCTCTTATTTCAGTCTCCTGACTCAAGTATGGTAGTAACCCAACAATTTGTGTTTATAATTAACCCCTTCATCGCAGAGCACTTTCTTTTCTGATCGTGGCCGATTTGTAGTGAATTTTTGTGTTTTTGTCGATTTCCCATTAATTTCCAATGGTTGGTCATTTTTGACCGAAGAGCACAAGTGTGACTATTTTTTGTCCTAATTTTTTTGTGTTCACATTCCAAATCCCACAAAAGTTACCAAATTTCATACCATTCTGATAAAGCTGTGATTTTTAGAAATTCAAAACAGAAAATTCTCCAGAGCACCAGAGGGTTACATTTTCTGTCTAAAAGTGACCAAAAAGCGATTTAACTCCAGATCACGATTGGTGTCGCCAAGCCCAGGCGCGGATTAATGCACAGGCTTAAGGCCTGTTCACACCGGGACGAATTTCGCGCGCGATATTCGCCGACGTTTAACGCCTTGTGACTAAACAAAGGGCGCCAATGTGAGTGTGCACACCGACACGAAAAACGGCAGGCGTAAAAGCGTCATTTTTTTAAAAACGCCTCGGGTTCGTTTCTTTAGTTTGACTCATAGACAGTAAAAGAAATGGACAGAGCGATCTCATTGGAACTCAGTTGAGACAGTTGAAGCCCATTTTTAGCGATTTCTGAGCACTTCCGTTCCTGACGCGCAGACTCAGACCGACTCAAACTAAGCTTGATGACGTGAGCAACCTGTCTGACAGACGTTACTCTTCTAGTAGCTGTGCGTGAAAACTGCCAACGTTAATCTTGCAGAGACGGGGAACTTGAGCAAAGAGTTCTTTGGCGTGAGTGAGCAGGAGTAAGTATTCCGTTGCTTTTATGGACTCATTATCTATGGGCTTCTCCCTTGACGGGACGTCCCCCCGATCGCCTGCGAGCTTCTCCTCCTGTCTGTACGGTCATTTCTGTACAGCGCGACAGAGAGTCGAGTGGTTATGACGCAATCGTTAGCCTATTTTTACTAAATCTGTTTCTACGGGGCCATAATGTAACATAGAAGGTAATGGAGCCCTTTATACATTGTCGTGTTTCTTTAGAAATAAATAATGGACAAATGGAGTCTTTAAACGCCTCAGATGTAAAGTTATTCACTGTCAAAGTGACGCCAAAATGAATGGGAGTCAATGGAAATGCTAACGCAAGTGAAGTTCTGCTACAACATGGCGGCACCCGGCGGGCTTCAACATCCGGTCGATGGATTACCCCCTTGCCTACAACAGTATAGGCCCGATAGCACATGTCTTATGATGTTTCAAAAAGAAAGAAAAAAAAAGAAAAAAGATGTTTGCAAATGTTACCTTCATGTTGCACTGCTCTGTTGAAGTGTCCCTTGAGATGTTTTTGAACTTTGGACAACTTTGTGGGTTTGAAATATATGGGGCACAGAATGGGCAGTGGACATCACTGCAGCATTTATGACATACAAAAAGTCCAAGGTTAAAGGCTAACGTTAGCTATCAAAATATTTTCGGGGGGAAGAGGGCGAAAAAACATACATTAACGGCTCAAATCTTGTTACAAACTATCTTTACAAATATTAAATGGACTATTCATATGTTGTATCGATGAGCTAAATTAGTTTTATTAAAAAATAAATCAAACGAGTAGGCTACTACGATTCGCTAAATAAAATTGAAGATAGCCTACTCACGTTTTGGCTTAAAGGTGCCATATGTCAAAATTGAGGTAAAATTATCCAAAAAATGAGCTACACGCATCAAAAGAATGAGAAGAAATAAGTGCAATGATGTCATTAAAAAATTGACAAGTTATAGTGCTGCCGAGATATAAACCTAAATTAGCATGCTAAATTACTAGCGCCGGCCCGACTGGTGTCGTAATACCAGTTTCGGCCATGGGAGGCGGTATGCGGGCAACATACATAACCACCAGCCAAACTGCAGTACACGAATAACTCGCACGGCTTGTGGGCGTACTTGAACCTGATGTCGACCGGCCTTTATAATTTAGTGTTGAGATGTTGTTCATTGAGTCTCTAATCACCAAATGAACTGCGGTCTTACTATCGTGTCAATTGATTTGATTAATATGCGCGAGGGAGAGAGAGAGCAGGAGCACTGCGCTCGTGTTGTTTGAAGACGTGAGAGTGCGCGCGCGCGGCCGGGGCGCTCTCTCTCTCTCTCTCTCTCTGCTCGTTATGCGCCCTGTCAAGCGCAGCAGTCATTATATTCTACATCATTCACCGATCAAAATAGGCTTTGGCGGGACAAAGCGGACGATTTGACGGTTTTAGAAGCTTAACAAATCGAAACTAAAAAACAGACTAGAGTAGGCCAACTTTCTGGAGGTATACTGCCCCCATCTGGTATGGAATATGTGGAATATGAATTTATTTTTTGGCAGACATTCCACATGGCACCTTTAAGTTCTTCACATGTTCTTCACATGTTTATCCGATCCAATTTGATAGGAGGCGCTGTCTCGAAAAACGAGGGGTCTGAGAATGCGGGACTCTGGGTGCGGGACTGTAGATGCAGCGGCTCCGAGTCTGCAGCTTCATACTACTCAAATATTCTAGAGCTGCCCAGTGGAAAATACCACAAATACCTTCATGTTCCACGTCGGCTTTTGGTATTTACCATAATTACCATAGCACGTGAAGCACCGTTATAAAAGAAAACACACTCGACGGGAGAATATGCACCTGTAAGTAAACTCTGAGCCATGCATACAAACACTCTGGAGCACCTTTTAAGAGTCTTCGTAGCGCGCTAAGAGACAACGTTATCGGGAAACGCAGCCCAGGAATGATGCTTATGATGCGTAATGGAGATTCCAAAGCGCTCTTCTTTGATCAGAACCACGGAGAGCGATCGCGGATAGGTCTGTCCTATGCACCGAAACCTTTTTTCAATGCAACAAAATATTTAAAGAGCATCAAGCTATTAAAATCTATATTATGTATAGTCACAGATAATTTAACAGTATATTAGTCAGTAATTTTTATTAGGTTAAACAGTGATTAGATAACGTTTTTAATTTAACGTTCACAATTGGTCTGGCCCATCCAAACTGGAATCCCGGCGCCGTGCCGTGCCTGGTTCGCGCTTAAGTAAAAAATAAATAAAAATATTTGTCTGGCCAATCCGAGGCCCCCTGAACACGTGGGGTCCCTATAGGCTGCAGCCTAAAGGCTCGTACACACCGGGACGAATATCGACGCGCGTTATTCGCCAGCGTTTTTCAACGCGTTTTTTGTGTTCACACCCAAGCGATTTTCGCTGACGATGAGCCGAGTGAACATGCAAATTCATTCCCTGACATTAGATGGCGCTTAATGTAAAACAGAAATAGTCCTATTTTGTAGTCGCTGTCGCATTTGTCATATAGTTCTTTATGTTCCGACAGCAACGAGACCAGCAGCTCTACATTCATCTGGCCTTGCATCTTCCTCGTCTTATTTCTTCCCGGCAGTGTAGATGCTACTTGGCGTATATCTTCTTCGGCGTTACGCATGTGTGCTCGGCAAGACCGTTTTGTGTTTGAGCGCCCCCAAGTTGTGTTTTACTGTAACTTCAGAAGCTCCAGACACGTGAGCAAAAGCGCCAATCTCATTGGTCGGATAGTTTTTGACGCGGCGAGTCAAACCAAGGGGGTAATCCATCGACCGGAAGTTGAAGCCCGCCGGGTGCCGCCATCTTGTAGCAGAACTTCACTTGCGTTAGCATTTCCATTGACTCCCATTCATTTTGGCGTCACTTTGACAGCGAATAACTTTACATCTGAGGCGTTTAAAGACTCCATTTGTCCATTATTTATTTCTAAAGAAACACGACAATGTATAAAGGGCTCCATTACCTTCTATGTTACATTATGGCCCCGTAGAAACAGATTTAGTAAAAATAGGCTAACGATTGCGTCATAACCACTCGACTCTCTGTCGCGCTGTACAGAAATGACCGTACAGACAGGAGGAGAAGCTCGCGCGCAATCGGGGGACGTCGAGGCATAAAGTCAAGGGAGAAGCCCATAGAGAGTTGTAAAGTTGCTCCTGCTGCGAGCTCATGGACAGCTAATACTCACGATCTCCGGCTCTGCAAGTTTCGGAAGGGAATGATTCAGATTCCTCTTGGCACAGCTACTAGAAGAGTAACGTCTGTCAGACAGGTTGCTCACGTCATCAAGCTTAGTTTGAGTCGGTTTGAGTCTGCGCGTCAGGAACGGAAGTGCTCAGAAATCGCTAAAAATGGGCTTCAACTGTCTCAACTGAGTTCCAATGAGATCGCTCTGTCCATTTCTTTTACTGTCTATGGTTGTAGGCTATTCCAGGGTGCACGATACATCGATGGAGTCACCCCTGCCGAACCCAGCAACATATCATTTTATGATTATGCAAAGCGACTTATAAATTAGTTTTTTTTAATGCAATTGAAGACGAAAAGTAAAGTCACGAACACAGTTTTTTCTTCCTTTTTTCTTTACAGCAAGATGATGTTTAGGTGATCATTAAATAAAGTACAGAATTGTTTATTATTGGTGTTTTGTCTATTCTGATTTGTTTTGCTTCGCATTCAAAATATCAAAAAACAGATTTTGTAATGTTAGCATGGTAATGTTAATTAGACCATTATAGGTTGAACTGAAAGAAAAATTGGAATTTGAATAAAAATATATAAAAAAAAACATTGTAGCAATATAATATCACATAATATTTTTCAGAAGATAGTTCAATCTGTAATTGTATCCCTTCCATCGCAATGAGTTTTTTTTTGGCACATGCATTAAGCAGGGAACGCAAATATTTATTGGATCATTTATTTGGAGACCGTAATATTGCATCCTGTTTTTAATTGCATTTGGATAAGCGTGTACTCTGTGTGCGGGTGTTATACGATCCTTCGAACAGCAGGAGGCGCTGTGTTCGAAAAACGAGGGGTCTGAGAATGCGGGACTCTCGGTGGGGGACTGTAGATGCAGGCTCCGAGTCTGCAGCTTCATAATATTGGAATATTTTGATGCACGAGACGAGTTGCCGAGATGAGATAACCTTTGACCTTTTCAAAATGGCGAAGAGCAACGTGAGAGTCGTGATGAATGGTAAAAATATTATTCATGATCTAGAAAATATACAGCATATTATTTACCGTTTGAGTTTTGATAAATCATTTTCTTGCTGTAGCAGATGACTTAAGCAATCTAAAATAGTTTTAGCTAAATAACAGGTCTGGATCTCCATCTTTTTTTACCACATTACGACAACTAGGGTTGCCAACCGTTCCGTATAGCCTAATACGGAATCGTTCCGTATTTGACACATAAAAGGCTTGTTCCGTATTGAACTGATACGGAACGCACTTTGTTCCGTATTTTTGAGAATCAATTCAGTGCAAATCCATGACAGACGCATAGCTTCTAATATATATGTCAGACAGACTATGATGAATGAACTAAGACCCGCTGCTATAATGGCAAATTCGGGGACTTGGCGCCACCTTGACGGGCTCTGACGTGTAATGACGTAGAGTTGGCTCATTGGTCGAACATCAGAGGCGCCCGCGCCATTGGATGTGCAGTTGCCGCAGCGCAGCCTGAGCGAGCCAGACGCTCAATGTGCAAGCTGTGCAGCTGCACATGCATTTTACAGGCTTCAGTAAATCGAGTAAAATGTGTTTCCGAAGACATTTGTAGGCTATGATAAGAAAAACTACTAATTTTTTTTTTTTTTTTTAATTTTGCACCGGAAAGAACATTCTAGAAGTCTAATTCCATTGAATAAGTTTGCACAAGGCTACAGAAAACTGTTGTGTTTATTTTTCTTCAAATGCAGTCTAAGCCGATGAGTTTCGAATGTTATATGTTGTATTTGTTTAAGTTAAAAATAAAACGTATTATAATCTAAACAAATACATTGTTCATTTTTGGCAAAATGATCATGATAGCCTTTATATATCTGTGTCTTGTATATTGATTAAGCCTACTTTGCTATTCCATAAATATATAGGCCTAATAAGTTGCATTATAATATGATATAAAATGTATGAATTTCAGGGGGCATGTCACTACCACATCCCCCCCCCCCCCCCCCCTCCCCTCCCCTCCCCCCTCCCCTCCCCTCCCCTCCCCCCTCCCCTCCCCTCCCTCCTTATTTCCATTTTAGAAAGTTGGCAACCCTAACGACAACAAAAGCACTTGAACGCAACACGCTGGTAAATACCAGTTCTCAAGTGGAAATATCATATTTTCCATAGCACGTGAACGCACCATAAGTCACAACTTATGCGTGGGAAGTAGCTAGGCTACTTCTCTTTCAGGGCTTGTTTTGTGCGACGCACAGGATATAAACTCCAGTCTGGAGTTCTCCTCACTACCTCTGACTGCAGAACCCATTTCAAACGCTAGTTGTAAATCTCGCATACTGCACATTTAAAGTGAAGTGAAAGCAAAAGATGTTTGTGAAGCCGCCATCATTTCCTGCTTTTTACTATATTAGTCAGAAAAATTATTTGGAACAGGAACAGAAACAAAATGGCTTTTCAAGTCCGCGTCAGGATTAATAAAAATACGATTAAAGCATTATCTGTGGCGTCATCAAGTGAAGAGTTTGAAAAGTTCACCATTGGAGAGCTGAAGCAAAAAGCATTAAGTTTGTTTCCCGGAGTAAACGGTAGGTTGATGGGATATTTTATAATCTTTGCATTCTTCTGGAAAAAGCTTACATTTTATCATCATTTAATCTTTGTAAATCTGGGTTTAATTTTTTTGTCAGGTCCAGAAAGGCTGAGGGTGATTTTCGGTCAGGAGGAGCTAGAAGATTATCAAACATTTAAATCATGCAACATTGAACATCTGTCTCTCCTGGTCGTCGTGCTCAAGATGCCTGGAGGAGGAGGTATACCTGTTGAATTATTTCATGTTGAATAGGCATAATTCTTTTATAATCTGGGATATTTTTTCTGACAATAAAAAAAACAAATATTTACGAAAAACTGTTTTTTAGAGCATTGTGTCATTAGTTGTGTCACTGGATTTACAAATTAAGTTTCTGAAGTTGATTTGCAGAATAAAAAGCTGTATAACTAATTTGTAATGATGACTAATATATTTTTAACATAATAACGTTTTTAAAACGTTCCAATAACAACCTAAGAATAACGTTTTATGCTAACGTCTTTAGAACGTTTATCAATGTCATATAACGTTGGAACAACGTTATAATAACGTTACACCAAGAACGTTTTTTGATAACTTTCAGAGAACCTTCAGAGAACGTTAGCCAATGTTCTGAGAACGTTCCCTGTTAGCTGGGTATGATACGTTTACTATTTGCTTTACAAAATTGTAATATTTAAGGCATTATATAATTTGTATCTAGCCTACCTGAAAACGAAAGACAGGCACTTTTACCTTTAATGAATTGATAATAACAAGGCATGTGTCGCTAACCATACAACCAATAATTAAGGGATCATTTACTCTCCCTCATGTTGTTTCAAACCTGTATGAGTTTCTTTCTTCTGTTGAACACATGAAGATATTTTGAATGTCGGTAATCAAACAGTTGATGGACTGTTTACCTTCCATAGTACACACACACACACACACACACACACACACACACACACACACACACACAGAGAGAGTAGTTAGCTGGACAGTGTAGACTTGAGATGGTCCAGTCACTGTATTATTTTCAGTGCCTTTTTAAAATATTTTGGGATTTTGAAGTTGAGAATTCAGGTACACACATTCCTTGAAAAAAGCTTTTTTTAAATGATTAAATGTGTTATTTGATTATTGACAGTTATTTATAGTTATTTATTATATTTATATCATTATTGACGGTTATTTATAGTCACTTATTGTTAATTAATAAATCTGCATTTATGTTCTTTATAATTACAATTATGCCTCCATCCTATTTATCATCACATTATGCTTAATTGATTGTTCATTATTGCACCAGTATTGATGCAGATATTTAGTTCATTTATTCTTTTATGGAGAAAAAGCAGAATCTCTTTAATGTGTAAAGAAGCAGAGAAGCGTGACAGTGACTTCAGCTCTAAACATTTCAGCCAGATGTGTAGCTGATGATGTGGATTACATTTACATTTATTCATTTAGCAGACGCTTTCATCCTGTGATTTACAAATGAACAAAATCATAAGCAATTTCTCATGAGAGCCAAAAATATCCGTTACACAACATTTGAAGATTAAAGTATAGATGGCTTAGGACACAAACTAGAGCAGAAGAGACTCACAAAAGAGAATATAGAGTGTTTTTCAATAGGAGTAATAGTAAGTGTCTGTGTAAGGTTGTGTAGTTGTTTAAGTGCTTGTGAAAGAAGTGTGTCTTGTATGTTGTGATAGTCTCATCAGATCAGAGGGGTGTTTTCAGCCCAATACGACGGAGATTAGCAGAGGTTCAACCACACGATTATAGGTCTCTTTCTACAGCAGCCGGATCCCTCTCCATCACTGACCGTAAGTAGGAGGAAACACACACATGTAGAGTGTATTGAGGTGTTTTTATATGATGCCATAGCTGTAGTTACAACATCTAGTGCTTTATTGGTTATAATGTATTTACCGAATACAGATACAGTAAGATATGATAAACTGTAAATGAAGCTTTTCATCTGATGTCCTGTTACAGTTTATAACAATTACTTACACGATTTCTGAAACTATGGTTCCTTTACTCTACCCAGCTCTACACACAAAAGCAAACATTTCATTAAAAACTATTTAAAACACTTTTCTAGAAAATAAGTTTTTGCATCATAACTATACACAAAACCTCAGATAATTCACTCTCATACACAGCAACTACACATGACATGCAAAACAGCGATCTCATGTCTGGTGCAGTGAGCCTGAACACACATATGGTCCACAAATACTGGACATGCACACATACTCGGGTTATATGTTCTGTACACTATAAACAAAATGCAAGGGGGAAAATTAATTTCTTTATCAAAACACTTTATCATCAACACATTTTTGATTTCTAACAAATTAGCTCCAGAGTTTTTTCCACACATTCGCACTGGTTGTTAGTAATCTGTAAATGAATGTGACATTTTGAATTCCTTCACCAAACACAAGAGTTGTTCGTTTAGAATGATGTAGAATAGTGATTATTGTCTTGCAAAAAGTTAGTTTTCCATTTGTAAACATATTTATTTGCGGTTTTGCACACTTGGTTTGGAGATCTGGTTCACGAGTGAATGATCCTCCAGGACCACCATGTCCCTTTAGAGGCTCTGTAGTTTCACCAATCATTCATTAAACTTTTATTGTTAATTTCTATTGTCTGCTTATTAATTTACTTGCATCACATTTCCTTTTGTGTTCCATGAAATACAGGAAGTAATTTGGGCTTGGAGTCACAGTAATGATCATCTTTTAACATAAGAGCTTGATTTAAAAAGTTACGGTGTCGTTTCAATTCCTGCATGATGGTTATTTTAAACTAAACACAGTGATCTTTTATTTTGCAGTAGATAAGTGGAAGAGAAAGCCGAGCGCTCCCAGTGATGATGATACGAGGGCCAGGACAGAAGATCTTCCAGCAGGAGCTTCAGCTGTTCCTTCAGACCCAGACATGCATTTTGTGCTAAACTTGCTTCCGTCTCTAAAGAGAATGGATCTCAGACGCAGAGA